GTGAGTGAGTCTTAGACTGAAGCTGACTCAGTCGGCAACCTTTTCACCTTAAATTATTTCCTCGTGTGGATGTGTTTGTTTTTCTTTTAAATCTGCTGTAAGAAGATTGTTTATCGGGACTGAATAATATATATTTTGTTATTTTATATTGGTTAACACCTGAACTAGAACTTTCAACTATTTTATTTTAAAGGAGTGCATATCATGTGTACAAAGAAGAGAAGAAAAAAGACGGGGAAAAAAACAAAAACTATTTTTATTTTTAAACTTTGTAAGTTATCCTCTTTTTTTTTTACATAGTGGAGAGTTTGAATCAAGTTTCAGAATTGTTAACATAAGATTGTTGTCTGGAAGCCTAAAATTGTGACGACGCTGCGTTCTCATTCTGTGACATGGCATGCTGACTAACTGCACCTTTAGAATTCTATGGAATTATTTGAGTGATTGAATACATTGCAGCCGAATAATATTCAAAACCCTGGCACATACCATTACCATTATCCTGCTTAAGACATATAGCTAATTTGTAGCTTGTTAGCGTGACAACGTTTTTTAAAATGATTATTAATGTAAAGAAGGTAACATTTCCTTTGGAATGAAGCTAAATACAATAATCTGACTGAAACACAGGCACTTACAGTTTGTCGGCTTCATAAGTGTGTATTATGGGAGTTTCTTATTTATAGAACATTTTCTATGTGCTCTTATATTGTTTGTTCAAGCTGTTTTGATATTTTCTAGTGAGTAGTAAGTTCTTAGGGCTAGACATAAGAAGGAACATTTATAATGGAAGACAAGCAGGCGGAGACTCAGAATGTGGTAGAGAAGGTTTTTTTTTTAAATAAAATGACGAAATGTTACAAAGCACTCAGTCTTGAATGTTTTAACTTTTGTATGGGATGCCTTTTTATTTATTTATTTGAATATTTCCTCACTTGGAGAATGTTTTGTTCCGCAGGTAACACTCATCACCACATGCTAGTTCATAGCTGGATAGCGTCATGGCGACTTGCTAGTTATTCAGTTATGAAAATATACAGTATACTCTAAAGTAAAGGGCATGTAAAGTAGTTTGAAATGATACAAATCCCAGTTAGCTTATACTGAAATACGTTTACTAGGCTTCAGTTGGTCAAGCTATGAGGAAGAAATGTTTTTTTGGATGTTTTTGTTTTAGCTGCTGCTAGCTTCTTTACTCAACTAGCTATTTTCTCTGTTAGCTCTCGCACTTTGCAGTAATAATCTGAACCTTTGCTCCGCGTTTGCAACACTTTTCTTAGAACTTTGTGAATGTTACAGCACAATTTTGGTAGAGTTGAAAAACGTAGATGTAAATGTTGTTGCTCATTCTCCTGGTAGTGTTCAAAGTTTGAGTTTGGATAGAATTGTCCCCTATGGTGTTGACAGCACCATTGTGGAGGTTGACTGTGAGTGTTAGTATGGTAGCACACAAAACAGTCTGTTATTAATCTATAAATACCATTGCGTTGTGGGGGGGTTGAATTTTGACACAGTTTCTGTAGATTTTTACAGAGGCCTTCCATTTGTGTAAAGGTTTTTTTATTTAAATTTTTAAATGTGTCATTTGTAAAGCAAGTTAGCTCCCCGTCTACAACTCTGTGCCTTGTACTGTACAATCTAACTAAAAGCTGAAAGATTTGTACAGTATCCAAAAAGGGAAATGCCAACGAAATTTCTTTATCAAAAACTTTGTACTCCACACTTTTCACACGTCTTCAGGATGGATGTAGTCATCAGGTCATCTGGTACAACTGACCTCATGTGTTAACGTTTATACAGAGACACCACCAGGTGATTTTTTGTTTGTTTGTTTTTGCAGTGGTTCGCTGAACAGTAGAACTAGTGTGATTTAGTCTCATTTACACTGAACAAAGAGACACACAGTCGCCATGCAAACTTTTCATATTTTAATAAATAATTGTGTGCTGTTTCTAAAGATATAGATGCCTATCAGTTGTTTTGAAAGATGCCTCAAACTGAAACTTGACGCCTGAAATGTGGCTAACAAGCCAATGTATCACATGCGTCACAGCACATACTGTATATATCTATATATTACACTCACACATTTTAATGATCAGCTTTGCCCTGAGCAGTAAAAGCAGTGTTACCCAGACTACACCCCTCTGCCAAGTGTTTTTCTCACTTTGCTCCGTCTTTGTGCGTTCAAGCTCACAGGCGTTTGTTCAATCGTCTAAATCATGGCTTCACAGAGGGGCTATCTCTTGCTGGATGCCGCTGTGCCGGCCTTCATCAATCGTCACCGAGTTCTGTGAGTTTCACAGTTCTGTCTGGAACGTTTTCCAAGCCGGACAAATGTCACTGTAAACCTGATTATTTTTTTTTTGTCCAAGCCGCAGAGCAGTGCGACAAGCTAGTTGTGTGACCGGCTCAGACCCACGTCTCTGGATAGGCCCTGGGGCCTTTGGGCTTTCCGAAGCGGTTTCCAAATCCTGGAGGGGGACAGAGACTTTGCTGTGAGCGCCGTGTTGGCCGTGCGCCGGCGTGACAAACGGATACAAAGACCTACCAAATTTGAACACCGCAAATGAGCCGCTTAACGTCCGAGGAGGGGCTCCGGGCTGAGCCGGGGGGGCCGGAGGGGCAGTGGTAGCTGGGGATGTGGACATCAGGTGCATTAGTCCAGCACTTCTGATAGACGTCAACGCGTTAAAGCATCGGGTCGAAGTTACTTACGTTTTGGTTTACTTTTAAAAAGCTTCAGGCTCTGGATGGAGGGAGAAAAGCAGCAAAATTCAGCATGCAGTGCTTCACTTCATCCAACTTCACTAAAAGCCCAATCCCCGTTACCTTTGATCTAGACATGCCCTTCTCGCCGCTTTTGTCTGATTTGTTTCCAGGTTTCTCGGTGCTCAGGGGGGGCCTGTGGTTGGCACCGTTTTGCTCCACTCGCGCTGATGTACAGAGGGCAAATATTTACACCAGAGCCTTAAATAGTCGTGACCATACCCTGTTCAGAAGCAGAACATGTGAAAAAGGCTACTTCTTAGCATGCAGCGAGCCAACTCACCACTTCCTCCTTCGGCGACGACCACAGGAAGTGGAGGGAGCTGCTGAAACGAAGCGAGGGGCTCTGGAGCAGAAACACAACGATGAGCTAAACCAAGCGACAACACAGTTACTCTTGTTATCGAATCATTCACTAAGCATCAGGTGTTTCGCTTTTACTCCTTCCTTGTGGCGGGGACAGCTTGGTTCTGCAGGTACCTGCACGCTGCATGTGTGTACTCAACAAAAGGATCAACACGTTTGGCTGCTGATAACAGAATGTGATAAACTGGTGGATTACAGTAAACAGGCCCATGCTCTAAATCCAACGTAAACTGCTACATTGAAGGATGTGTCCGGTGGTAGTCCTGGAGATTTCTACTTATAAATGTAGGACTTCAGCTAGCGGTCAAAAATGTTTAAAACACGCTAATGTAGGGTGGCTCACCTTCTCTTGAACTTCTAGCTCGAACACTCTGTAAAAAATACACATTTGAAGTAAAGATGTTAACGTTCTTTGATCATAAAAATACAATTACGCAAGAAAAGTCTCAGGGGCGATGCGGCCTGATTGGTCATCATCACCTTGCTCCTCGTGAAAACATCTAGAAGTTTCCTGGGCTGGGAAGGGCTGGCCGACTGCGGTAGCTTTCCCAAACTTGAGGAGATATCTTGTGTTCCAGAAGGATGCAATGCGGCCGGCATGCGCTCCAGCCCCCCCGCGACCCGACCAGGAATAAGGGGTTTAGATAACAGATGTACGGACGGATACGATGTCCCCACGCTTTCCTCAGGACCTGGAAAGAGCAGAGTTTGGAGACATCAGGTGAAGCTAAGGAGTTGGATCTCCAACAACTGCTTTGCTTACTGTTGTCTGTGCAGAGGATGAAGGATTCTCGTGTTCTCTCTGGAAGGGGGGGATTCAAACTCTCCTCAGCTGGAAAGACGAATACGACAGTGGTTTTTAACATTGCGTGCGAACCAATATTTAATTTATGTATTTTTGTACGTTTTGTACATATATTTGTACAGACAGATTCTTCTTTGCGTTGCGTAAAACAAAAAATTTGAATTCTTTCGTCATTCACACTGGTCAGCTTACTTTCATGTAGAAGTGGAGGACCCAATGAATCCAAATCCGGATAGATACCGCCGGGTTTGGAGGTTGCATTTGGTCGGAGATCAAAATCTTTTACTGGTGCTGCAGAGTTGGTCGAGAAAAATACAGGTCCGTTGATCTTATGTTAGTTTTAAGTGTCCCAACTAGCTTTGATCAAACCATCTTTTTGATTACTTTATCATTCAACTTCAAAATAATTCAGCAAAGTCCACTTACCTGAGAACGTCATTTTTGCTCTCAGACTCTACAAGAAAAAAAGGGAAATTTCATGTAGGTACTTCTTTTTTTTAATCCCCAGAGAAAGGGGAGTTCCCATGTTTACAAAAGTAGTTTAGTCAGATATGAAAGGCGAACAAGAAATACGAAGTGAGACACTGATAACATCTCTAAGAAAATGTTTATTTTAAGTCATTGATGTAGTTGTTAAGTCTTAGGGTGAGGGTGTACTTTTGCTTTGTACATAGTGCGTACAATTTCAGAATGTTGGCTTTCTAAATTCAAAAAGAAAAAAATGAAAGATTATATCTTTAAATATCCTGATAAATAAACCTTTTGAATTGAAGTTCTGCGTGTTTGGTGATGAAATGACTTTATCTTTGGCGTTTTGCATGACGGAACCCGATTAAATCTGGGCGTTTATCCAGCTTTGCGCATACATTCCAACCTGTACCCACCCCTCTTGTTTGAGATCTACTCAGATGGACACCATGGAGTAGAAAAGGCTGTAATGTCCTGTGTGGGTTTTACACTTATACTCTGACCTACTGAAGAGTCAGGCTTACCGCTCACGTCACGTTCATTTTTCATGTTGTAATGCCTGATTATTTTTTTGTTTTGATAGTTTTTCTAGGAGTCGATCGTAATTAATTTCTCCCACACATTCATATAACCACAGCAGAGAGGATATTGAAAATGTCACTGATGACTGGTAGTTGAGATGGAAAGAAGAAAAAGGCCCTTTTTCCCTGCATTAGTCCATATCCTCGGGTGGGTGAAGCCACCACTAAAAAAATACAATAGAACACAACTTTTTGCTTTAATGGGTAATTCATTGATTCCTAATTGGAAATGTAAAGCTGCTGTCTTATCTCCAGGCTTTATGGCATCTGAGGAACTTAGTGGGTAACCAGTTACTGAGCTCACTGTTTGAACAAAGGTTTGTAAAAGCCTGTAGACAATGCCTGATAAGCTAGTTCTGGTTCTGCGTAGACTTCCTGTCACTCAGACAGTAAACTTTAAAACAGCTCTGCCTGAGTAAAAGAGTCCATCTCAGTGTGTAAGAGCCATATGAAGCAGCACAGAGTCTGAGAACTGCAGGTAAAGGTCTCCTGGTGGTACCCAGAGTCAGAACCAGACAAGGTGAGGCTGCGTTTCAGTCACATCTGGAACAGTCTTTCTCCAAGAAGAGAGAGAGGATTAAATTTTGTAAAGAACTTTGAACTGTCCTGTTCATGAATCGAGCTATACAAATACATTTGCCCTGCCTTACCCAATCTGGAACAAAGCATGACTCAATACATAATTGTGCCTAATAATTGTATGGGTGGTAACTAATTAGCTACTTTTAGCATGTGTCAGCATGAACCAATAGGCTAGGTACTGAAATACGTTTTGACAAATATTCAGTCAAATTTTAATTTACGTTTGAATTTACATGGTAATAATTCTAAAGGAGAACCACTCCATACAAGTGAGGGCTACTGTTATCCACTGCTAATGATGCCAATCACTAGTTAGCATGGTTCAACGTCGTGCCAAACCCTTCACGTCTATGTACTTTTTCCAATTGCCCAAGGCGACACGCATGCTTCTGCACAGGAAGCTTTCCATGTAAGAAGGATGATATTTTTCATTCTTACTTTGCTTCTCACGTGAGATGTCACCTCATTCCGAACCGCCAGAGCAGCTGGCGTTGAGGTTCCGGACCATTCCGAGGACATGCCTACGAAACCCTGTTTTACCGCCGGAAGCCCAAGGTGCTGCTCAGCAGGGCCTGCAAGACATATAGAACATTTTTAAAAAGTCAGCTTAAGTTTCAATTGTCACATCGTCCCTTCTCTGTGGTAGTTTATAGTTTTAAGTCATTTGAATTTGCATGTTATTCTGAACTTGCCTGGATCAATAGCCAGCTCAAATGATTCAGGGGTTCTCAGAGGAAGAGGGGGCACGGGTGAGGGCGGGCTCCCTGAGAACATGGAAGTGTCAGAAATTCTTTTATTTTGTCATCGGCAATGTTTTGACTCAATTGTTGATTGATTTAGTTAACTATGAAAGCAGATATGTCCTGCTCAGAGCTAAAAATTTACCTCCAAACTCCCTGATGGCCTCAGCTGCAGCGTTGGGCGGAATGATGACTGACAACCTTTCACATGGATCTGAGAAACAGAGTCGTGGTTTGTTTTTATACTTAGGCTTTCACAAAAGATGAACAGAAACCGACTATGGATAATGTGAGGTAAAAGCCATAGGTGTTAACCTTCATCCACAGCCAGAATGTAGGATTCAGGTGTCCTTTCAGGTATCGGAGGAGGCCCTTCCTCATCAGTGTGTTCGGCTCCAGCATCTACAAAATGACCACAACAGTTTTATTCTTTCGCTTTTTGCTGTTGTGTATTTTGGTACTCTCGTGTCGCAAAACATTCCTGTTTACCCGAATGAGAAGGGTCCAGAGCCTCGTTGTTAAGGAGCAATGAGGGCGCATTAAAGAGGGGGCTCACTGTCCATTCGGTGCTGTCCACTGGGTCTGCTGGTGACTCCTCTAACGAGGGGGAATTCATCGGAATATCGAAATAGGGGTCCTCCACCATGTGACAAATGACCTCTGACACGGCTGCTGGCGGTTCCGGTAGCACTGAGGGCCCGTTATCACTCCCCTGTATCACGTCGCCCACAGAAGGAATCCCGTGGCTGTTATCCATCAGTTCAAGGGGCATATCGGAAACCGTATCATTCAGGTCTGGGTACGGGGTCAGAGCGTCTGGGGGGAGGTGGGCTGGCTGACATCGTTGGGCACAGGGCGCCGGTGTGTGGTTCTGTTTCAAATAGAACCTCTCCTCTTCCAGCAGGCCCTGCAGTCGTGGCATCAAATCCGAATCATCGCTCAGGTCAGAGAGCTCGCCTTCGGACACAGCGCCGACAGCCGCCTGGTCAGCGGAAAAGAGAGCGTCAGCCTCAGCGTGACTTTAACCGAGAACAATTAACCCAGGTAAGTGATTTATAACGGGAAATGGAAGTACAACTTTAGTGTTTTGGTAAATGGGTGCATTGTTTCAGAATATATTGCTGGAAGCATTAGTTTGTTAGCAGGTGTTTATCTTTGCCTAAGGAAGTATTGTTATTGACAAAGCCATCTCAGTTCTGAATTTGTTCTTCTCCAGCTGAATTTCCGCTTATCATGTGACTTTGTTCTATAGAAACGCCACTAAAACACTTTTTGCTTATGTGGAAATTGAATTGTCTGTTCAGATTAGCTCTGCACGGTATGTAAAAAGTAAACAATATTTAGGTCTTTAAGAATTTATCTGACCACCTATCTTTAATACCACGATGGATTCCAGCAAAAGAAGAAATTAAGTTGACTTTTTTTCCTTTACAAATAACATTTTCCCTTGTTTAGAATCTCAAAGAAGCGAGTAAACAATTAATATAGTCCTTTTCGGGACTTCAGGCCATCTGCATTTACGTCACATTTCACAGAGAGCATAACAGAGTGCTTTCATTATCAGTTACCGGATTCAAATGAGAGATTCTTACTGCTGTTGCTCACCTCATTTTGGTAGGCGTCTATGTCCATGGAATGCAAATATCTCTCAAACAGTAGTTTGATGGTTCTGTACACGAGCAGATACTGTTCCTGTGGTTAAACAAGAGACACCTGCTCAGTTAGGTGCAACAGCCTTGGGGCACATTGCGTACAACACAAATAAACAAGTCTTTCAGGGCTATAAATAGATGAAGCTGACTTCTGTGTTAATAGCTTGAAATGTAGTTTTGCTTGTTGGAAGATTTGCATGTGGGGGCGTTACCTTTGTCTGCACCACAGAGGGCCTCTGGGTTCTCATTTCTTGAACTAAATTGTAAATATTGAAGTCAGGAGTGATCATCTGGAAAGTGACATGGAAGTGACGTGGAAAATAAGATAACAGCTCATTTTTTTGATCAATCAGAAGAGTAATGGTAGAGAAAACTTGGATAGAAGATATTACCTGCTTCCTCAGGAGGTTCCACGTGTAATCAATGACACAGAGGGCTCCTGTTCTCCCACAGCCAGCACTGAAATCAGAAGCAAAAACTATAAAAATAACATTATATACTATCATCATTACATTTACCTAAAGAAGAGCTGAAAACTGCACCAAGCTATGTTTTTTTTCTTTTTTCTTTAGCTTCATTTAAGCCCAAATCCATGCAGCAAGTTTGTTTTTTGGCATGAACGCCAAACTACAATAGATGGTTTCCTAGAAAATTTAGGATTAAATTAACCAATACCAAAAATAAACTGCCAAGTAATAGCTATGGAGCACAAAGGCTCACAATTTGTGCAGTTGTTTAATTTCCATTGCTTTTCACTGAACAGAAGCAGTTTAAATTTGAATTGGTCATCATGTCTAACCACTGAGGCCCCGACACACAGTTCCACACAATGAAGTTTAAATTCCACATCTGAATTTATCAACTGAAGTGTCTGAGTTGTAAGACCTTTGTGAACACCTTTACCTAAGAGAGTGTGGTACTCGTCCTTAACTGTTACCTTTACACTCATAATTCCCTTTCTCGCTCTCACCAACCAGTGGTAAGAGTATATAGTCCAGTATTTGAATTAGTATACATTAGCTTTCCATTTTACACAATGCTTAGCAAGTGAGTTACAAAATCAGTCATGGTTACTTGTATGTGGTCATGATAGTCTCCTCATGTGATGTGAAGTACTTTTCTACTTTTTATCTGCATCCTTCAAGACAGTTGTTATACAGTTGTTATTTTGAGTCTCATCTGCACCTCTGAAGATAAACAGCTTCAGAGAAGAAACTATTTTTCAGTTGAATTGAATAGCAACTATTAATGATTAAGTAATCTAACAGTGCTAACATAACTAATTATGTGTATTGTTTTGTGAAAAAGTTATATTATGATTTTTCCATTTTTTAAATGTCTAGATTGAGTATTACGGTGTTTCTGATTAAAAAAGAAAACACAACATGAAAAGTAATGAAAATTATTTCTGTGTCACTCAAGTAGAACAAACTTGCACCAAAATGCTTTTGAAAATTTCTTTACAGGGTCAGAGCCCTAATAATAATAATTGAAAATAAATCTGACCAAAATGTCTTGATTGCACAGGTTGTATAAGTTGTTGTAAGTTTCCATGGATAATGAAAGTTTAGAATAAGTGCTGAAATAGAGGGTAAATGCATTCACATACATTCAAAGCTATATTAGGCCACTGGCTAACCACCTACACAATGTTTCCTGTCAAAAAGCGATCGAGGAGGCACCCAACCTTTAAAGTCTATCTCAGAGCACAGGCACATCGTGCCCACACAAATCACACTGCTATGGGTACAACAAAATGAAACCCAGAAATTGTAGTTGTTCTGTCATCTTACTTTGTGTGTTGTAAAGTTTTAACGCATTCGAGGGCAACAGAATTTTTGCACAAAAAAACGTTACGCAGTTACAACAAGATTTATTACCATTGTAACTTTAAAATTCCTAATGGTTTAATATACTCTAAATGAAACTGTCACTACTGAACATAAACCTCCTTGTGCATGATTTTATGAGCAACATGGGTGGCAGGTAAGAATAGGGCAATCCAAAGTGAGATTCGGAGGGGCCCAAACATGAAGCCATGAGGAACACCAAATAGAGTTGCCTTTTTTTAAAACCAAAAAAGTTTGAATGTTTTCATTCCTTATTATTCTAACACTGCAATAACATCATTAGTGCCAAATAGAATAGATGTATAACAATGGAACGATGAATGTAAAGCAGCCTTGGAGCACCAGAAGTTCTGTCTGTCTCATACTGTGGGACTTTAGAAGCCCAATCACTGTAAGTGTGTCAGCCTGAGCCTGTCTGTGGCCCAGGCAATAAACCGACATGTCTGAAACATGCTCATCATGTGTGGCTGAATGGTCTCTGATTATTTGTGGCCTAGAAATATAAAAACTAACAGCTTTTCAATGTTTTGTGAGGAACAGAAACCTTGTTTGAAACAATTTGAGAAAAAAAAGACAATCCCCATGAGCCTAACCTGCAATGGATGCAGATTGGGATTTCATCATGATCCTGGTAGGTGCGCATCTCATACAGCATGTCCAGAATGGGGGGGATGGAGTCTGGCACTCCGTGATCTGGCCAGTTGACGTAGTGCAGCTGTTTCAAAGTGCGAGCACACTGGATGAAAAGAGGAAACGTTCAAAACACTGTCAACGCAAACCTTCTCTCACAGCACATGTCTTCAGTTCACGACAAACCCACGAACCAAAGTCTTTGGCTCTCATTTGCCACACTGACAGTTGAAGCGTTAAACAGATCAGCAGAGCTTGTCTCTAAAGGTCAGATGTAAGTAAAGATTTTCAAAGATTTTAGACACCAAACACCAGCTCATCTCGTGCTTATCTCAAGAGATTTTCCCCTGACAACAGTTTTTTTCACAGTAAGTGCTTACGTTGCAATAAGTCAACCTTAACGTCCTTGTCAAGTAGTCTCCATTATTTTCCTCAGAATCCTGTAAAAAAAAAAGACAAGAAAAAGATGAAAAAAAGAATACATAATTTCCAATAAGAATTTGAGCTGATTACTGTTCTACAGAGTATCAGTGAAAGTGAATTTCTATCTTATTGTATTATCAGTAGCTAAATGTTGGTGTCAGGTATTATCAAGATATAATCATAATGTCAGCGTTTATTTTGGCACATATCTAAAAAAAAAAAAGCTGCTTTGTAGTTTCTTGCAGGAAGTGTAACCGTGACAATGAATGTACTCACACAGTGAACCGTGAAAGGCTTACAAACAAATGTCTCATCTTGCTTCTGCGGCCAGTAGAGTTCACATTTTTTCTAGCAGAGAAAACACAGACTGTCATTGTCCTTGCACCTTGATCAGAAACAAAGAGTTAGAAATACGAACGACGAACAGCCACTGAAAGGCAGCCTTACCTTTCCCATCTCAAATTCTCTGCAAGCCATCACTACGACCTAATAAGTCCAATGAGACAGAAAAAATATATAACATAACATGAGAATAAACTATTTGCTGAGGTGATAAGATAAAGCGGTGGCTTGGGGGACGAAATAAGAGGACAGAAATATGACAAAAAACACACGGTGGGAGTCAGCACAAATAGAAAAACCTACTTCGATCTCATATTCCCAAAGCATCCTCAAGAAATCCACCACTGTGTGGGGAAGCGGACCCTGAGTAGCAACATATGCCCTGGACCCTGACACTCCCTGTACATGAAACACCACAGAATTAGTCACAGAATTACATGATACACCAACACCTCATTGACTATAGGAGTTCTCTCACACATGACCGTGTGTGTTTACCTTGATGAAACTTGCATTGATGTAGTCAGTGTCAGTTTTACTTGTGGTGAGAGTTAGCTTCACTCTGGTGTGGTCAACTAAGAGAAGAGAGATATGGTCATGGAATGAAGACTTGGAAACAAAGGAATTGATAAAAACATTGGATAACAATATTTGGAAAATTGATTAACCTTTTTTTTAAAAATCCCTTTTGCCATACCACACATACATATTTCCCTCAGTTAAACAAAAGATCAGATCTGCCCGGACATATAATCCTAGCATGAAGATTGAGGTAGATTCCTCACCTTCAGTTTAGCTTAGAAATAGAATATGCACATGAAAAGTTATTAGCAAATTTTGTCTTACAGTATTAACACATGGCAGGAAACAAACTACTTCAATGTAGCATCGTTTTATCAGTTTCGTTCCTCTTCTTATTTCAGTATTGATATTTTGAGTTGTAAGGTCAATTTAAAAAAACTTCCACTATTTAAGGGAGTCAAGTCTGCCTTTATGTAAACCCAAAGATGATCATTGCTATTGAAAGCAGAAGTTTATGCTCAACCACAGCTTTTCCAGAAACTGCACGGCGCAATCGCTTACAGGGAATGATGTCTTTGTATCGGTTCTTCTTGATGTTTTCCTGCTTTTCTGCTGCCTTGGTGGGGAAGGTATTGTTGGCACGATACTTCATGGACAGATTCTTCAACTTCTGGAAAGCAGATAAGACGAAAGCAGAAAAAATATGAATGTTTCTCCCCCTATCTGTATGTGGTTAGCAACTGTCCCCTCACAGTAAGAGGGTTCTTGGTTCAAATCCCCCGGGGGAGTTTGTATGTGCTCCCTGTGTCTGCATGGGATCTCTTGGGGGACTCTGGCTTCCTCCAACCGTCCAAAAACCTGCATGTTAGGTTGATTGGACACTCAAAATTGCTCCAAGAAGTGAATGTGAGTGTGTGTGGTTGTTTGTCTCTGTGTGGCCCTGTGATGGACTGGTGATCTGTCCAGGTCCGTTCTCAGCTGGAACAGGCTGAGGTTCCAAAAATGATGGTTTAAAGGAAAGAGGGAAGGGATTAAATAATCCTAACCCTGTTTTAATTGTCAGTTTATATGTATAAAATTCAGTTTATTTACATGGCAGCTATTCACTACTACTGTCTACTACTTGCTTAAGGCTATCTATCAGTTCACCTACTTATTATGCAGTTATCTTCTGTTCGTAGCAACTATTTTGATTTATCAAATCACAGGAAATTGTGAAAAATAAATCCAGTCCTTGACGGGTTCAAATCTCCAATAAAATCTCAGATGAACAGCTTAGTATGTTAAACGATTATTCAAAAGCTAAATCAAAGGCCAAGCGTGTGTGGAAAAAGGACATATGTTTATTAATCTATTCAACGGCTTGTAAATCCACTTTTATTTCTCTATTTGTAGAGACGTTTTAACCTCACAGCTCTCTTCAATGCTGCTTCCGCTCCATGAGGTTTGCGTGTATTTGTTTGTTGCGCTTTTACTTGAGGTCAGAACTTTGCCTCGCAAGTGTGTGATTGTTTCAACTCCAGGTGTAGATTTAATGTCCTACTGTGTATGGTTTGGCACATTTCTATGTGCCCAAACTCCGTTATTTGGTCTGGCCTGCCACACCATTGCAGAATGTCTGTTGCTTGTTTTGAATGCATCTTGAACCCAAACTTGTTAAACAGTTGGAAGATTTAACATGCTTAGTGAGGCCTGTGTGTCTGGGATATGGCTTATGACTTTTTCTACTGTTTCAAACCACTTTAAAGACTAGCAACAGTACTGAATTCTTTCCACTAAAATTTCCCCACAGTAGAATAAACTCCACATAACTAAATACTAACTTGATTGCCCTTCACAAAATGAAAGGTACCAACAATTAACTTTCTAAGAAATGTGCTTATCTTTTTGGCAATTGAGTCCTCCAAACAAAACTTCAACTTGTTGTAGATGTCACTACGTTTGCCAATAATTATTTACTCAAATTTATTGGATTCACAGCTGCTGTCTTAATTCCTTTGGAGTTAGTATTTAGTTTACCCCCCCGTCGCTTCTGCAAATTTGCTTAGCTTTTAGTATAGACATAATGAAACACTGTAGAATAACGCGCCTTGTTATTCATCCCAGGTTGTATTTAACAGATTTTAAGACCTAGCATGCGTTTAGACTATTTTCATTTTGTCCTGAAAACGTAGAAGGTATAAAGAATAGAAAGAAGATTAAAGAAAGTATCTTTTCTGGGGCGTTTTTTTCCCCCACGTGACTGAATGTGAATCAGGCCCAGATGAACAGTCAGAAGACTCTGACTTGATGCCTCATAGGAGTTTTTCCATCCAAAGTTGATGCTTACAGGACCTGTTAAGACTCCGGCCTTTTTTTCGTTCAGAGGCCGTTCTGGCAATTCCAGTCTGTACAAAACAAAAAGAAACCCTCAGATGCCTTTCACACCTCAGAGTCCTTTTGTCCATAAGGGATGTGATGCCATAGACCCCTTCCTGTGTGAGTGGTTGGGGTGGGACCAGTATGGCAGCAGAAGAGCCCCATGTGAGGCGCACAGTGCTACCCCAGGGCGCTTGTCTGTCACCCATCACCATGGCAGCAGACCACAGATGATGTCACGAACCCTTTGAAACGGTTACCTTTTTCTTTTCGTGCGTACGAATGCGCTCGCGACGAGCGGCAAGTGTTTGTTGGTTAGTCGAGGCTACAATTTGCCTAGCGGTCTTCCTCTTTGAGGTGACTTTACTGACAAACGTCGGCGCAAAGAGGAAGCATAAAGATGGCGCTGAAACTGCAAATATGATGGCTTAGTACTTCCCAGATGACTGTTGGGCAAATTTTGGATGTGGGGAAGACCTTGAACTCCCTGACTTGACTCTTCTTGAGCTTCTAAATGAAAATGGAACCCCTCAGCTCTACTGAAACTTTCCTCACAGTAAACACAGGATAAATCACTGAGTGGAACATTCCTCTTGACTCACCTCAAACTCCCCGGCAATACAGTCTGATGCTGCCCCAGCGCTGGTCTCCTGGCTCTCCAGCTGGGTCAGTATGCCCCTCAAAATCCAGGCCTGCTCCTCCATGGTTGGCTGTTCTCTGCCTGGGATGGGACACTTCTCACAGGCATGACAGGTCACACGGGTCTCCGTCCACAGCTCACGGAGGAAGGCCACGAGAGCTGGCGCTGAGTGCCGTGGCACTTCTCTTTTGCAACTCTACCATCAAGGAACTGTTGTGACGGAACATATGAACTGTCTTAGAGGAAGCACAAGTGAGCCAACAGGTTCTGTGGTCAGATTAAAATATTGCCGCGCCCCCTGGTTGTCTCTCACTGGGTCCTAAAGTCATCCGGCTGTGTGAGTGCACCCGAGTGTGGTCTAAGACCAGGGCAGCACCTACCAAAAAGGAAAAAAAAGTGAGCCCTACATGTAACTCAACTTAAAAGCTGATTCTGGGAAAATCAGAAAGTAATCCGGGCAGCGTAACCTGCTGAGCCACATTCAGAACAAACTAGAGGAGTGGATGAGGGAGGTTTAGAGTCAAAGTGGAGGAAGTGATCAAGAGACTGTGAATCATCTCTGAAAGGTCCGCATTTACTTGCTTTTCTTCCATAGTAGCCATTTTTAACGAAGGAGATTTCATGTCTTGTACATATCAGAATTTGGCCTCTAAAGTGCATTTAATGAGCCATCAGGTGTATTTGTGATTTCACTGAGAAGGCTTTAAATTATTGTGGGAGGTGGTATGAGAGATACCGCACTAGTTATGAAAACTGACCTGTGCAAAATGTCTTTTCTGCATGCTTGAATTTGAATGAGGTCATGATTATGAATGATGGGACACACACATTAATAAAGCAAGAAATTGGCCCGATATGTGAGGAAGTAGCCCACAGTCAGTTTCCTATAAAGCAATGACTGTTTGTCAGAAGCGACGTGATGAACGCTTTGAACTGTTCAGCGGTTGGCGTTCAACACTGGTACACGAGTGACATCTAGTGTCTTTAAGGTAGAATTAGATCTGGCGTACAGATGGAGGGCAACTTAGGGCAATGCTGGAACAAAGGTACGTCTGATACTGCAAAGAGATGACGAGAAAGTCCAGACCATGAGACAAAATGTTGGTCTTTCATCAGCGCTTACAGCAATATTATCTCTTCTACTGTCATATTCCAAAAGTACTTACCATATTCCAAACCCAACATTACATGTCTATGAGACATTTAAATGTCTCCTTTTTTTTTGTGTGTTTATTTCTGTTGTAAATGAAAAATGCATTGTGGTTTGTGAACTTTTCAGATCACATTGCTGTATTTATCTTTATGTTACACATGGCGTTACACCTTAGATTTATTCTGATGGGTTGGAGATAAGTCGGGCACCATAAATCAAAGATAGAGGGTAAATAAAGTTTTCAAAAAGCCAACTGGGAAATTGATTGGTGTAATGCTTTAGATATTGCCCCACTAAACTGTTAAGCTTTGCCCCGGCATGGTATCTCTCTGTCCTCTTAAAGCGGATTACGCCTGCTCTCCAAGAAATGACCCTGACCCTGACCATGACAATGTTTTATTGTAAAACTGATATTTTGTATTGTGTGAGGCTTTTTTTCCACCTTCAGTCCACTGAGAGTTCCTCATTGAATCCATTTTTTATGTGTCCCCTTTAGATTTGATTCTGCTATATCAACATATATTTAGAATCACATAATCGTATGGTGGATATGTGCATGTCTTTGTTGCATTGAGCATCCTAATATGCAAGTCAGTCAGAATAAGGTATAGAGATATAGGAATGCAACCTTCCATAATGGTGTTGATAACACATCTAGCAAAAGAACAATAATTATGAACTAGTTATAATTATAGTAAGAGGATGGGTTTTAATACTCTGTGGTAATTTCAGCTAAATCTCAGCTAAATGTCAGCTAAATATGTGTAACCAAAGGGAATCGGGGGTAGAATTCATGTGATACACATTATACAGAGGTGCCTTATGCATGAAATGCATCAACATCCCCACAACTGGTAAAATAGATATTCAATTAAGGTCTTCCTCTTGCCAAAAGCTTTATTTAACCATGTATCAAGAGCTTTCTGTGGCTATGTAGCATGAGAAAAATTTGGCATATTTGTGTCGATAGGAAGTTGTTGCTGAGGTGGTGGAAATAGAGCACTGCACTTAGCCCCACAATGCCAACAACATGCTCATTTAGTGTGTGTGTGTGTGTGTATGACAGTGGAAAAAAGCGCTACATGTATGTACTGTATGAATTTGTGTCACAAACACATTGCAAAGCTCTCAGCTGAGCATTTCCAAGTTTAAAACACCTCCTGTCAGAATGTTGAAGACACCTATCAAAAGCGGATCTCGTAAACCACAAGCTTGTGCAGGAACACAACTTCACCACAGTCCACCTAAAGAGCTTCCTGAGTGCTCAGGACTCACTCAGCCATCTTTACATCAAAATGAAGAGGCTGTATCTCATATGGCTTTTACACGGTGAGTGAAATAACATTGAGCTAATTCCTAAATGTTTTTAAGCTGCTTACTAATGTATCTAAGAACTCATTACTAATTAGCAAATTTCACTATTGACCTCAGAGGCATTTTGTGAATTTGAGTTAGTAAATCAGAATCAGGACATTTTCCAATCAAACCTCAAACGGAAAATAATAAACTTAAAAGGGAATGTTTATTCATGAGGGTTGATTTTTAATATCTAGTGAAGGCTGGTGTCAGATTTTTTAATTTAACATGAAAAAACTATCTGTTTTAATTTTTTATGAAGCCGGTGAACTAAAATAAACTTTTTTAATTTATCACAAACAATAATAAGTTGGGTAGCAGCCAAACAAATATGATTAAGATAATTGTGAGCAGACGTGATAATCTTTATGAAAGCAGAAAAGATCTAGCTGGAAAGAAACAGGTGATTATCTTATATAAGCAGCTGCTGCAGCCCATCAGTTTAAAAGAAATAATCAGGCCACTTCCAAACCATTTGGAGTCGGTCACCTACAGAGGAAAGAATATTTCCAAGTGGGAAATATTTAAAACCTCTTTTGATGAGGTGACATCCCAGAGGGTTAACCCTAAAAATCTCAAAGCGACATCTCAGTCTACAAGCTTCAGTTGGTCTAGGGTAAAAGTTGACGATAGAACAATCTGAGCAAGTGTAGCTTGTTTGAAAATGACAACGGTATTTCTGATCACATGACCAAATCTTGTTTTTTATTTAATAATGCTACTTATTCTTGTATGCTGTATGCGCTTCTTCTTTAGACCTTACAAGGCCCATTAGGTTTTAAAAATGTTTCTTAATTTTTATAAGGAATATCTAAGAATTTACACTTTTGGATTTTTTATACCTCAGGACTGTTTATAATGCTTCGATGCATTCTTATTCTGACTCATCTTGTCTTACAGTGAGTCTTCAGCTTCAGTGTGACAAAAGAGAGATCACAGCACAGGTTGGAGGTTATTTCAAAATTGCCTGCAAGTATGATACCAGTTCATTACTCTTTAGTAAAAAGTACTGGTGTCGTGGGGCCTCCAGAAATACCTGTGAGATTTTGGTGGACTCAGATGGAGTAGCCAGGACGTCTTACACTCACAGGTCCCACGTGCACGATGCAAGAAGACAAGGGCTGTTTGTGGAAGTCACAGATCTCCGGTTGGATGACTCTGGGGTGTACTGGATTGGGATTGACAAAATATATGCTGACATCATGGTTTCAATCACTGTGGTTATCACAGAAGGTGAGAAAAATTAGCAAAAATTCACTCCTTTAATGATTAGCATGGGTTGTGCTATTTTTTATTTTTTTTTTTTTTTACCTTCCTTGCCTTTTAGCCCTTCAATGCTTGCTTGAAAAAGAACACCTATTTTTAATGTGAAATCTTTGTACGGCTATTTAAATAAATGTCACAAAAACTACATATATATATATATATGTTGTTTTTATTTTATTTTTTTACATATATATATATATATAATCTTATAAAATATATATATATATATATAACTATGTTATAAATATATATATATATATAATGTTATAAATATTTTCTTCACATTCTTACTATTTTCTTCACATTCTTACTATAAACTAAAATAACAGAAAAACTCATTATTCTATACAATAGGTGTTTTTTTAACAAAATATTAACTTAATAATTGAGCAATAGATCTCACAACAATGCTATGCATCAAATATGATGCATGCTACATGGTCTCAACCCTGTGTGTATGAACTCTACTTGTACGTGTACTCCATGCTGTTGGGCTGAGAAGATTCACATCGATGTTTCCTCTCTCTGAAACAGTCCCACCATCGAAGCCCCGGCTTTGGCCGTTGACCTCTCTGGCGGACAGGCAGACCTGTTGGGGGGGGCCGGTGACCGTGCGGTGTGACAGTGAAGAGGGCACTGGGATTCACTACGCCTGGCATCAGCCCGCTCCCCACCAAGAACCCCAGCTCCACTCGTCTGAATTAAGGCTAGACTGCGGAACAGTGAGAGACGGCAGCTACTTCTGCTCTGCCAGCAATGACGCGGGCAGCAGCCAGAGCGATGCCCTCTCTCTGCAGGTCCTGATGCCCACAGACACTAGCGACTGCATCTATGTGGTTGATATTCCGGGTAAGAGCACCATTGCATCATACTGCATACAAACCAAAACGAAAAGTTTATTAAAAGGTGTCTGTGTCGTAACAGATATCCTTAAAGCACTTTAGGACACATGATCTATCTATCTATCTATCTATCTATCTATCTATCTATCTATCTATCTATCTATCTATCTATCTATCTATCTATCTATCTATCTATCTATCTATCTATCTATCTATCTATCTA